TATATGCTAAACAATACACTAAAAGATCTAAGATATACAATAAAAGACTTAAGATATACGCTAAAAGATCTAAGATATATGCTAAACAATACACTCAAAGATCTAAGATATACACTAAACAATACGCTAAAAGATCTAAGCTATACGCTAAAAGATCTAAGATAAACGCTAAATAATACGCTAAAAGACCTAAGATACACACTAAACAATACACTCAAAGATCTAAGATATATGCTAAACAATATGCTCAAAGATCGAATATATACGCTAAACAATACGCTAAAAGATCCAAGATATACACTAAAAGACCTAAGATATACGCTAAACAATACACTAAAAGATCAACGACAAACACTAAACAATACACTAAAAAGTCCAAGATATATGCTAAACAATATGCTCAAAGATCGAATATATATGATAAACGATATGCTAAAAGATCTAAGCTATATGCTAAACACCATATTATTTTACATTATTAGTGTTTAGCGTATATCTTAGATCTTTTAGCGTATTAGCGTTCTTTTAGCGTATATCTTAGTGTATATCTTAGTGTATATCTTAGATCCTTATGTACCGTTTCTTTTTATACTTTATATTTGTGCTGTTTTTGGGTGTAACTGGGACCTTGTGTACACAATTTTGTTCCACCTCATGTACCACATGTGATGCGAATGACAATAAAGATACTTAAACTTGAACTTGTTAGTCTCATTGAGTCACGAGGACTCATTTTCAAGAGACCCGTTTTAGACAAAACCACAGATAAAGTAAACACAACAATAAACAATAGAATGTAAATAAAGTAAAAATTAAAAAGTAGTGTCATAAAATAAAATAAAATTAAGATACTACTAAATGCTAAGTATGCTAATGCTAAGCCTCATCAATCTGTTTCTGCATTGAAGTCTCATTAATAAAAATCGCATCCCTCTCAAAAATAAAACCCGCTGCACAAGTGACTTCAAGTTTTGGATTAAACTCTCTCGTACAGCACAAACACATTTTTAATAATTTGTTTCTGTCATAAGAGCATCAGTTAGTACCTGTAAGACGTAGTCAAGGACGATGTGTCGGAAGCACTTGCGTGTGGCAGTGAGGATGTTGGTGGCCTCCTCCACTTCGTGCTGCTTGTTTCGTGGAGCCTGAGCATTCTTGATAAGTGCCGTCTCCTTTTCCTCGCTGACTTTGTCAAATTGTTTCTTGGCTTCTTTGAACTTACGTAGGTCACTGTGAACAAGGAGAGGAAAACAGGCTTTTTTTTAATTGTTTTTTTTTTTTTTTTAAAGGCGGGGGGTTACATTTCACACTTGAATCTGGACCATATCCGTTTTTGCTTAATCGTAAATGTTAAGCAACTTTAAACTACATTTAGTAAATGTGTAACTCTAGTAGACCTATCTGAGCTTATGCACCCCAAAATACACTAATCCAACTATGGAAATACACTAAGATATTTTTCTTTATCTGCAACAGCCTAATGGGGCAAAGGTGAGTTGTCAAAAGGAAGATAGGCTTATCTGAACTCTGAAAGAACTTGAGCATGCTGCTGTAAAGAAGCTCACAAAAAGTCAAAGGTCATTGTATGAATCCCAGTGCCCTGGAAATCCCTATAAGTGAAAACAACAAATATTTGCTGAAAGCCCTTGACCTGGCTTTTGTGAAAGCCCCCAGTCAGTGTGTGTGGAGAGCCGTTGTGATATAATCTTTACATTAGAAAGCTACAAGATGGCCACTAAGAAAAATATTTCCATGAAAGTATGAGTGTTAATAATGTGGGTGTGGAGCTTTGAGGCGCCTGAGGCAAAGACTCTAAATCCTTACAATGACTTACAGACTGAGTAACTGCTTCCTGTATGCTCAAACTGGGAAGTTTTATAGTATTAATCCATTTTGTGTTTTTATTCCTACTGCAGAAGTCCTTTTGTTGTTTATTTCACATCTTTTGCATCAACGTCAAATGTCCAGAAATCCTGCTTCTGCAGTCAATATTATTTTGGAGTTTTACAAGAGAACTTTTTTTTTAATTTTATTTTCATGTTTTGTCATTTTAATACTCACTCTTTCACAAAGGTTTGCAGTTGAGTCTTGATTGATCTCTGGGCCTGATCAAATAATATCTGTACAAAAAGAAGAAAAAAGTAATAACTGCTCATATACCAACAAAAAAAAACTATAAAAGGTTATTTATCAAAGAGCACCAAAAAAGTTGATGAATTTTCTTTCCTGGCCAGTCAGCACTCTGCATCTCTGTTTGGGAGAGTTTTGTTAACATGACAGGGTGCAATTATGCTGCTAAATTTACACAAACACACACTGACTTGGTAAACTCCCCTCATAAAGATATAAACACAAGAAATGACGTGATTCGCCTCCTCGTGCTTGCGACTCATGCCCTCATTAACCTGCATGCTTCCTCAAAAATAAGATAAGTGGCGGGGGGGGGGGGGGGGGGGAGAAGCACTTTAAGTGTGTCTTTAATAAATGTATTAGATAAAACAATGTGAGCAGTGTGGCTGGGAGAAGTGACCACCGGCAAACAGATTGAGCTCTGTGTTGGAGCGGATCATGTGCTGAAAGATGCTGAGTGGCAAAAAGCAATCAGACAGAGTCAGCTGATGTGGTCGCAGTCTCCTCTGATGAGCAATGATCACTGTGGCTCCTGAAGACTTTCAGCAGACTTAGTCTGGAAAGCCAAAACAAGTCAAACTTTGTGACCCCTTTTTGAGTTACTATGTTTTTCTCATCTTCAATATTTTTTCATTGGTTCAGAAATCAAACCAAACTTTATCAAGCTGCTTTGTTTACAGGATTTGTGTGAAGATTTTGCCAACTGCCTTCCAATACATTACACAAATCTGCAGCTATAACATATTTATAATCTGTTTGAGGAGTTTCAGTCAGGGTTGACAGTTCATCATAGAACAAAAACATAGGGATGCACCGATCCACTTTTTTTTTTTCTTTTTTTTTTTTTTACTTCCGATCCGATCCCGATACCTAAATCTAAATATCGACCGATACCAATCCAGTTCCGATATCATGATCATCGATTTTATGAGGCTGTAATAATCTCCTCTCAAGTACAATTTGTACAAATATATGCACGCATGTCCAAAAAAGGCAACTTGAGGTAAGTTTTATTAATGTTGGATACGTTTTAAAGTTAGAATTAAATTCTGCTCGAATGTCCAACGTAAAACTAACTTTACCACAGTTTAATGTGGAGCTATGGCTCTGCAGACATTGCGCGTTGCTGTCTTGTTTTGTGGTGTTTCTAGTGTAAAATACTTCCACACAGCGGACATATTTAGATGAAAAGTTTGTTAGCTGTTAGCCATAGTGCTGCTAACTCAGTCCTCACATTGTAGCTGGCTGCAAACTATGAAATGGATTTCCTGAATGTGAGGCGGGTCTTATTACTCTGGGTTCATGAAGCACGCCTCCGTTCAGGAAATCCATTCCATAGTTTGAAGCCAACGTGCATCATGGATCGGAAATCTCTGCAGGTTGGATCGGAAAAATCCAATACGTAAATGATGCTGGTGTGCATTATGTATGGATCCGTCACATAGTCACCGATACCCAATCCAGAAGTTTTTCCGATATCTGTACCGATATTGATATTGGATCGGTGCATCTCTACAGAAACAGCACTGGTGAAAGTTACTAACTGGGCTTGTGTCTATACTGGTGCTGTTAGACCTCAGTGCTGCATTTGATACAGTTGATCACAATATTCTACTACAGAGGCTTGAATATGATATTGGGAATACAGGAACAGCTCTAAAATGATTTAAATCATATTTATTTCATAGATTGTAGAAGTTTGTAAATGTGTAAATGTAAATAATGAATCTTCTTTATACACCAAAGTTAGTCATAGAGTTCCTCAGGGTTCAGAACTTGGATCTGCTGAAGGTTTCTTCCTGTTAAACGGGAGTTTTTCCTTTCCACTGTTGCCGTTGTGCTTGCTCAGGATGGGAGACTGCGATGAAGTGAAGATTCAATTAAATCTGGTGGCTTCCTTGGGTATATATCTGAAATGTTTTTTTAAAATGTATGTGAATGTTTCTGTTCAGTGCCCTGAAACGACTTCTGTTGTGACTTGGCGCTATATAAATAAAGTGAATTGAACTGCAGCTCAGGATACGTCTTGTGATGACTTAACTTTCATCCATATTTCCTTAGCCAGTTTCCTTGTCTGGACACTTTTTGATGCAAATTATATAAATATCTTCAGTCCATTACAACAAAATCCAGTCCAGTACCTGCTCATTTGATTAATATAATCAAACCCTCTTCTTCTGTTACTGAATAAAGATTAAACAAATGATCAATGGCCAGAAACACTTACAGTAAAGATGAACATTTATCACTTTTATAATTACACAAATTCACATTTGTACTAGTTTCTGTAAATTTACCAAGGCTTTTAGAGAACAGACAATCTTTTATGCCCTTTTTGAAAAAAAAAAAAAAAAAAAAACTTATTTGGTATTGTGTTTACCCAAACTGGTATGAATGCATGAATAAAAAAAATAAACAAAGTCCCTGAACACAATCGTTGCTTCATTTATGGCTTTTCACTTAAATGTGAAGATACATACAAAGCTTGTTCAGTAAAAGCATCAAATGTAACAAAGTTTAAATAACGAGGTTAAATAAAACGTGTAGCCACATGCTCTGAAAAAATGTTTTACCAATAAATTTACAAATCTGTAAACCACACACGAAACACAAACTGCTTAAGTTTAAAATCATTGCCCACCTTCATAATGTTTTGTGACAAATAAAACCTTATTAAAGAAACTATGATACATATTTTTAATCAATGGTAAATATTAAAAGCAGCCATGGCATTTGTTTAGTTTTTTTGTTGTTGTTTTGAACAGTGTGTAGGGGCAATGACAAGTGTAATGCCGACTAAAAACTCACTCAGTGTGATACAGAAAGCTAACAGATATAAAACTTGACAGCAAAGATCAGCAGGACATTCGCCACAGATCAGTGCTCAGTGCTTCTTCTCTGCAGCCGGAGCAGTCTCAATGAGAGAACAAAAAGAGAATGGCAGGGTTTCTTTTGTATCTGAAACTGACAAGTAAGCAGTTTCACAATGGGCCTTCAAAACAAATTAATATATAGTAGTCCTTATCGTGAGTGAGATCCGTATCCTGAAGATCTGTGACAAGTGAAAAACTATGAAGCAGGAA